CCCAAACTCTAGAAGCCCCAATATTTAAGGTGTAGGCTGCAGAGTAGAGCCAGAGGAAAATGTTGAAAGAAATTCAGAGAGATATGAAGAAAATCAAGGGAAGATTTGTACCTTTTGGACTGTACCTTTGATTTATGGAAATGTTAACCTCAAGTGGCCATTCTGATCCATTTCCAACCAATGCCTGAACACTGTTGTCTTTGAATGTATTCTATCATCACCTACAGCCTTAAGTGGCAGTTCTCATCAGTGAAGTCAGTGAAGTTCAGACCAGGCCATCATGAACAGGAATCATGCCTCCCAGAAATAAACTGAATCCCTGTAATATGTAAACTCGCATGTGCCTAATGGTGCTGTATGTTCTTCAGAGCATATTCAAAATCTCAGTGCAAGAGTTTTCAGGGTATTTTTTTTTTCTTTTTGATGACATCTAAGATAAATTATATATATTTACATACATACACACATACATACATACATGCATACATACATACACGCGCGCACACACACACACACACACACACACACACATTAGATCATTGTGATGACTACTTTACACCCTTGGTAACCAAATGCTAACACCCAGTTTTGATGTTCATGTTTCCACTTGCACCGATGTTTATGTTGGCAACTTCAATTGTCATGAGCAAAATAGAGAAACAAAAAGAAAAAGGGAGCCAATATTTAAAGTGATATCTCAGAATCCTATATAAATTAGGTCTCGCAATAATTCAAATATAGAAACGAGGTTGGTTATTTGAATCATCTCAAATAACCTGTATGTGTTCAGTGCATAAGAACCTTAAATGCAGCAGTTTGTATAAAACTCACACTGAGAATTGCAATTTACTTGACACTAAAGCATCATCTGTTAAAGTTGTGAGTCTGAATTTTAATTAATCTGTTGTTTGGGGTGTATTTAATTTGTAAAAAAATTTTTTGGTTTCATAATTTTATAAAAGATAGCAACAGGAGTTTAAACACTTGCAAGTCAACCCTGATGGAGCCATTAGAGGTTTTTCCATTAAAATGGATTGTGCTTTTTCAATAAAAAAGCCACCCCTCCTCCAATATTTACAAGGCCCGTCAATGAAACTGTTTTGTTTTGAATTTTGAAACTCTATATATTTCTAAATCTGGAAGCCAGTATTTTAAAGTCGTTAGTTTGTTGCATTTCTTTCCTTTCCAGATAAAGTTATCTGACTTTGGTTTCTGTGCTCAAGTTTCCAAAGAGGTGCCGAAGAGGAAATCGTTGGTTGGCACTCCCTACTGGATGGCACCCGAGGTGATTTCTAGGCTACCTTATGGGACAGAGGTAAGAGGGTGACAGTCATTGAGGGAGGCAGGACCTGAATGGGCTCAGGGATGCAATGGTACTGAGGTAGTTAATGACCACAGGGGATCAGAGTGATAACTTTTGTTGACTTCACATTTGACCCCCATTCACTAGACTTGTCACAGAGTAGGTCGTGGCAGAAGGGAGATTGGCCTCCACTAAGGATATTGTCACAACACTTATCCAGGAGCATTTATTGAGGTCCTACCGTGGACACTGGGGGAGACTGACTCAAACTCTGATCCCACCTTCAGTAGCAGATATACACAGAGCAAGACAATGTAACTTGAAAAGTGGCCAGAGACACACACAAAGGTGTGATGATTCAAAGGATAGAGCATCAGAGAAAGCTGCACAAACAGAGTTGATATTTGGATGAGCAATGTTTTCTAACAGAAAAAGAAATCACATATGAATGTCATATTTTAAAATATGGAACAAATTCTGTTTCCTCTGGAATAGAAACATAATTTTTTTAAGGGATAAGGTTTGGATATGTGAAAATGAGGGGCCAGAAAGAGTGGAGAAAAGACCTTCTAGAAAGGAAATAGCATGAGTAGAAGCTCTGAGGCCTGCAAGACTATAAACACATGAGGCAAGGAGCTCGTTACAGCTGAGTACACAGTGTTTCCTCATGTTTTGGTGCAGGAATCGGTTCTAATAGAGAAGCATGGAAGAGGTGGCATGCACAAATGAGCTATGGATATTGACATTGGTTAAGGCAGACTCTGCTCTCTTTCGCTTGTTTTTTGCCCTTGGATGAGTACTCAACTTCACTTTTCTCACTGTGGTCCCAAGAGCATAAATTCTCAGTGAAGGTCACTGCAAAGGTTATAACACGAATGCAGCTAACTGATAAGAGGTGTAATGAGGCTGTAATGGGAAGTGACTGTAACTGGAAATTTATAGCACAGCTAAGGGCTTCTCATTGTCCCAGCTCCCCATTCTTTACCCAGAACGAATTGCTTGTCATCTCTTCCTTTTCTTTTCACCATTGCCTGGAAATGATTTTATAAAGCAGGATTTTGAAGCCTGCTGCTTCAAAATGATAAAACACAAAGGAAAGAACCCTAAAGTAGGCAAAAAAGAACTATTTTTAAAAATCAAATCAATAAAAGGATCAGAATATATTGTGTTGTGCAATGTAGCTCTTTGCAGTTTGTTATGAATATATCAATAGCTCTTCTTATTTTTTAATGCAACTTTCTTTAAATGCAACTTTCTTCTCTATGTTCATAACCTAAAACTTTGGATATTTTTCTCATCTTCCCTAATAGATAGTTATCCACTAAAGTTAACAGGGTAAAAAGAAAGTTCTAAATTTCAAAGCGTTAAGATATTCACACGTACCTAATGGCAGAATCTTTACTGAAGATGTCCTTAAGTAGCAAAGGAAGACCATTAGCAAACACTTGGTAACTCAACAATTCAGCTTATAAATCTTGATCGTAAATGTTGAGAGATTATAAATACCACATTAACTTTGAATAAGTACGAATCTTTTTGGTTCCCTGGACACATCCAACATTGCAGAACCTTCTTCTTGCCTGAGATAACCAGTGGGTTGTGCCTAACAGGTGGACATCTGGTCCCTGGGGATCATGGTGATAGAAATGATCGATGGCGAGCCCCCCTACTTTAACGAGCCTCCCCTCCAGGCCATGCGGAGGATCCGGGACAGTTTACCTCCAAGAGTGAAGGACCTACACAAGGTGAGATGCGACATCTGTTGCTAAAGTTCAAAATCATTCTTCAAATTATCAATCTCCCTGTAGTTTTAAAGACTGGCCTATCACATCAGGAGTAGATCTTGGTTTATGGGCAGTGTGACTTGGGAATTAGAGTCACTTGGATTCAAATCTCTGCTCTTCCTGTTCACTCACTAGGCAAGTGATTTAGCCTCTCTGGCTGTGTAGTTCAGCTGTAAAATGGGGTATGGTCAATTTTTGTCTCAGAGTTGACTAGAAGAGTAAATTAGGCCCTCCACTCAACACTCCCTCACTGAGCACCTACTACATGCTGGGGACTGCTCTAATTGCTGGGGATATCGCAGAGCAAGACTGCAGATTTCCTGATTGTCATAGAGCTTTCATTCTAGTTGGAGAGGCAGATAATAAACTACAAACAAATGAACAAAATTATTTCAGAGATTAGTGCATGCTGTGAAGTAAATAAAACACTGTGATGTGATGGAGTGTGCAAGAGAGGGGATTGGGAGCACATTTAGGTTGAAGAGCCCTTCCTGGGGAGGGATCATCCGAAGTAGAAACTGAGTGGAAAGAAGGAGCAAGCTATGTGAAGATCTGGGAGAAAAATGTCTCACGCAGATGGAACAAGTACGAAGGCCCTGAGCCCAGGTAGAAGGCTCATATCACAGAGCAAAGTGAGCAAGGAGAAAGATAGGAAGGGCCTAGATTGTGCAGGACAATGAAGGACATGGTTAAAGCACCAAGTAGGGTCTTTCCTGTTTTCCAAAGATTCTCAAATAGGACCAAACTCAGAAAAAAAAAAGAAAAAAAAAAAGAATGCTAATTTGAAGAACCACCAAAAAAGTGGCCAGCTGCGGGGGAGAAGGCTTGGTGAGAAGAGCCATTTTCACAAGACTAGTCCTATAAACACTGACCCCACACGCACCTCCGTCCCGTCTGCTCCATGGCAGTGAGAGAGGGAGTGGGGCTGCCTTTTAGGGAAAACTAGTTTGTAATGTTAGTGTCTCCTCTTTCCTCACCCTTACATCTTAGGGAGGAGCCCCAATAGAATCACCCATATAGACTGTGTGGACCTACAAAAAAAAAAAAAGATACTGCTTGAATTGAACAAGAGGTTAAAACTTTTGCAGCATTGGAAAAAGCATCACTATTATTACCATTATAATTTTATTTAGTAAATAAATTGTCATTCTTTGTTGTACCATCATTTACTCCTATTTCAAACTTTAAGAAGGTGAGGAAAATATCATGTGTTAATAAAGGCAATATCTGCTTTTTTTTCCATAACATCTTTCTCCTCACGCTGACTTTTTAGAATCTGATGTTGTAAATAAAATGACTTTTCTGGGAGTTAGCTGGGAAACAATTTTAGGGGAACTGAGTTGGGTTTCTGTGGCAGTCCTCAGGATGGTGTCTTGTGTCCTCACAGGTGTCTTCAGTGCTCCGGGGATTCCTAGACCTGATGTTGGTGAGGGAGCCCTCTCAAAGAGCCACAGCCCAGGAACTCCTGGGACATCCATTCTTGAAACTGTCAGGTCCGCCATCTTGCATCGTTCCCCTCATGAGACAATACAGGCATCACTGAGCAGAGTATTCATGTAGGTGACAAAGCTAGATGAGGACATGAGAATAATTCAGGAGAACACAAGAAACCACAGACCATGCAAAAGGCCTGTGCATTCTATCCAGCTGATTGGTGGGACAGTGTGATGACCGGCAGGGTTCGAGAGACCAGGGCATCTTCTTGTGTCTTAAACAGGCATCTCTCCACTGACAGCTGGCATGGTCATTTGGAACATGGCTTTAATAAGTCATTATTATATTTTTCAGCCCTTCATCCAGCAGATTAGAAGGACTCAGTACAAACTCCGTTATGATCTATCCTAGCCACATGCAGGGTAATGCATAGGATTTTCTATATTGAAAGAATACTTTTCTGGCAAAAAAAAAAAAAAAAAAAAAAAAAAAAA